TTATGTCTCCCGCCCAGTACTTCTCCAGAAGCATTTTTAGATAATTACACAATCATTTCCTATTCCTAGTAATCCATTCTGCTCTTTGTCAACATACCTCGAATGTTGTCTCGCACATATCTCACTAACGGAATTTCTAACATTGACGTTATTGTTTGAGATAAGTCAATTAAACTGTAACAAGATCTCATTTTTTTTTTTTTTTGTTAACAGTTTTGTTATTCTACGTTCTACAGATCCTACTCTCCAAAAATTAAAAAACACTGGGTTTAACTGGGTTAAAAACAACTAATTTGGTAACCCAGCACTTTCTAGGTAAATATTGGACATAACAAATTATGGGTTAAAATAACTCTACAAGTTGGGTTAAATGTTTTAACCCAGCAGGGTTGGGTTACATAATTTAACCCAAATTCTGCTCACACTGACTGAACACTGGGCTAATTTTAGCTCATAGTGTGTTATTTCCATTTCAAGCTAATGTTATTCATATATTTTATTTAGTCTATATAAATGATTTAATTATATATATTGGTAATTTAGTAAGTGAATTGACTTTAAACAGTCTAAATCAAGTAAGGAATAATTGACGACAGGCCGTTGAATTATTAGAAAAATAATGCAGACCCGAGGTGGTAATGCGGTCATGTGAAGCTTGGGAGTTAAACCTCGGGTGTGTCATCAATTATTCCTCTTATACTACAGTTACCACACCTCAAAACCTTGTTCAGATGATTCATATCAAGACGTTTGTCAAGTTTTTTATATTAAAGCGCTCTTGTTTGTAGGACTAATTTCTTACGCATCTAATCCCATGCCTCCGTTGCTAAACGTCATTTTAGAGTTTAGTAGTAACGGAGGTTTGAGCCACTGATAGCAGACTAATGTAATGATGGGGGACACACTTACAATTCACTGAAATATTCGAAGACCGACTGTTTCCATCGACTGTAGCAGGTCTTACTAAAGTAACACCAACTGTGTGAACACAGACTGAACGGGCGTGGGCATGATCAGTCAGAAGTATCAAATTACATTCATAACTGGCCTTAGTAGGCCTAAACTAGTCTGTCCCGGCTTTATGCAGTTATTAATGCAGTTATTAGAGAGAGAGAGAGAGACATTGAAATAATGAGACAGACAAGCATGTGCGTCAATATTATTATTTATTTATTAACTTCGTTTTAATTAATTTGTTCATTATTGTTTTCTATAATTGACAGTAGATAACCCAATAAATGAAACACACAAAGCACTTTTTTACAAGTAAGCCAATCAATAATTATTTATTTGTTATATTATCTGGAATATTTATGAAATTACGTGCAGCAGGACTATTAATTTATTTATATAGCCTTCAGTTTAATTTTCTATTTAGCCTATTATAGATAGGACTATACTTTATTTATTAAAATTAAACTGTATGTGTCACTTGATTGTGAAGTTAGACATCGAAAATTGCAGATCAAGCGCATGGGGCTGCATGTCTTCTCTTGGTATGAATTGTATCCTATTTTCCGTTAACTACGCGCAGTGATATGCAACTGTAATGCGGTTCAAACTTGCCTGAAACTACTTTAGCCGTCAAAATAATTGCACACCTATTGAATGTTCTCAACCAATCAGAATCAAGCGTTCAACAGCCCTGTAGTATAATTGATTTGAATATCCCCAACTGAGCAAGCCAAAGGCGACAGTGGCAAGGAACTGAAAAACTCCATCAGGTGACCCGACGGAGGAAAAAAAACCTTGGGAGAACCCAGGCTCAGTCGGGGGCCAGTTCTCCTCTGGCGTTTATGAACTAGAGGCCGAATTTACAGTAACTGTCACGTGAAAATGTATATGAATGTTTCTAAATAGACTTTAAATGCGAACCTGTGATAAATTGGTAGTAACAGCCCTGCTGATGACGTTCACATGCGCATTGAGAATTGATTCAATAGTTATGTGCGTTTGAATATATGCGCGCAGGTTTTTAAATTCCCTCATGCCTGAACAAACTTCTTGTCTATAAATTTGATACAGATTTTCTAATCACTTCAGGGTAGGGACGCGAAACGAATTCACATCGCTTAATCTGTAGAGTGGGAAAGGGATCCTCCATAGGGAGAGGCTAGTTGGCACTTCAGCACTGCATTGTCATCGTCATCGTGTCCAGGCTAAGGTCATCGCCAGATCTGGATACGGCCTGGAAATTCAGTATTGACTACACCCTGAGATTCTGAGGCACACACCTCAAGCACAGATCAAGGGTGTTAGCACCACAATCAATCCAGTGAAATCTTTACAGAAAAATTAGTTTAGAAGAGTTTAACAGAGTACCTGTGCGTAATCCGGTCCAGGGGTCACATTCAGTCCTGTAGCAGCCAAAAGTTAAAAGCCGTCTGTTAAAAGATTAATGGTTATATTTGACATGAAATGTCAAGCATGGACAGCAGGGAGAGTAATATTTGAGATATGGCAGTAAACTCACCCTCAGTTGTTACGTCCACTCTGTGATCTGGTGCTGGACTGTGGTGGACTGGAGCTGAAGGGGTTTGAACCTGCGGATCTACAGGAGGAACGACTTCAAGACCACTGGATAGAGGTATCTGAAGACCATGATCCTCTAGAGCACAGGCACTGTCCAGTAGAGAATTTCACGTTTCAAATAAATTATGCTTTGGATAAAAAGTGTCAGCTCAATATCTAACTGTTCTGTGTGAAATACATAATAATTACACACTGCATACCCATTATGGTGATTCTTTTGTTAAAATATAACACATGGATTTGTAATGGTCATTTGATTTACCCTCAGCACTTCTCTCATTTATCGGTGCAGTGGTCTGGTCTGAGCTGCGATAATGAAGAGACGGCAGCTTCACAAAACTTCCTGTCCTTGTCCTCCCCAGCCAACATTTGTATGTGGGCCCATATGGGTATGAAATGGGCTGAAAAATGGGCCCATGTAGGATTGTCCGCGGGTTACATAATGGCCCCATGTTAATTGCCCAGATAAATTTCATGTAGGACTGTACTTGGTACTAGGCCGGACCCAAGTGGGCAACATGCACAAGACCCATCTCGGTCCCAGCTTTAACCCAGCCGATATTTATATGTGGGGCCCATGTGGGTTTGAAATGGGCTGAAAAATGGGCTTTGATTGGGATTGTCCGCGGGTTACATAATGGCCCCATGTTAATTGCCCAGATGAATTTCATGTAGGATTGCACTTGGTACTAGGCCGGACCCAAGTGGGCAACATGCACAAGACCCATCTCGGTCCCAGCTTTAACCCAGCCGATATTTATATGTGGGGCCCATGTGGGTTTGAAATGGGCTGAAAAATGGGCTTTGATTGGGATTGTCCGCGGGTTACATAATGGCCCTATGTAAATTGCCCAGATGAATTTTATGTAGGATTACACTTGGTACTAGGCCGGACCCAAGTGGGCAACATGCACAAGACCCATCTCGGGCCCAGCTTTAACCCAGCCGACATTTGTATGTGGGTCCCATGTGGCTTTGAAATGAAAAGTGGGCTCTGTATGGGATTGTCCGTGGGTTCCATAATGGTGCCATGTAAATCGCCCAGGTGGGTTTCATGTAGGATCGCACTTATAAACAGGTGGGCCCCAACTGGGCCACATGCACAAGACCTATCTTGGTCCCAGCTTTAGTTTTTTGTGGGTACTACAAGGTTACTATATGGGCTGAAATATGGGCTTTAAGTGGGTTTGTCCATAGGTTCCATGCTGGCCCCAGCAACTTGCTGGATTTCAGGATTCAGGATTTCTTTTATACAGGATTTCACAGGGCTTTAGGTGGGCCCAACTAGGAATCATATGCATGTGGCCCAATTAGGGATCATCTGGGCTCCATCTAAATGAGTAGCAACACCACACAAACAAGTTTTAAAGCATTAGAGCACACAGTGATATTGAAATATTTTCAATTTTATTAAAATTACTCATCATCATATTATGCTATATTCTGAAATTCCAGGGACAATATTTAAAGAAGCAGATTTATGTCAGATTAAAGAGTATCTATTTAATACCTATTTGTTAAAATACATATTTTGAACCTGTATTTGACCCAGTCTTTACTGAACATTTGAACAGGATATAAATTGGTGACAGTTAGAAGAAGCAGCAACTATACAGTACATTTATCAGTACAGCTTACACTGCAGACAGTCATTTGCGCATCTAGACACTCTCCTCCTCCATCTCTTGTCCTGAACTATTTTGAGAGTTCCCTCTCAGTTCCTTGCCAGTTGATCTGTGTTGTCTTCCTAAGAGCCTCTGCAAAACATTTTTTATTTTTTTTTTTTTTAGGGATTTTGATTTTAGAAAACGTCTCGGTTACGTATGTAACCCTCGTTCCCTGAGTAAGGAACGGAGACGTTACGTCAGAAGTGACGGAGATTGGGGGTTTCGCATAGAAAGCCAATCCTCTTCGAGTATTTAAACACGAGCCAATGGCATGCAATGCCTTGGGGCTGCGGAATTTTGCATAGCGTACTCCGCCCTACTCCGTGAGTATAAAAGGAGGAAGTGAACGCAACCGCAGTATGTCTTCGCTGAGGAGCCAAGACTGAACTCGGCGTCTACCCAGCGATACAGCAGAAGTGGCAGGGAGACGTAACGTCTCCGTTCCCTACTCAGGGAACGAGGGTTACATACGTAACCGAGACGTTCCCTTTCGTAGTCACTTCGAGTTACGTCAGAAGTGACGGAGATTGGGGGTCAGTGCCATCACGCCATCTTCAAGCTGTCTTCCAGTGCCCTGCGAAAGTCTGGACCCCCGAGCCTTACCTCTTTTTTTTTTTTTTTTTTGGGGATCCGACTTTGACACAGGATTACCAAGGTACACTGGGAAACATATCCCGGAAGGGACATGCTACTAGCTGCCTACCGAAGGGAGGACTTACGAACACATATGGCCACATAGGAACACATATGGAACACTGGAGTACCAACCGCAGGTGGCTACTAATTTCAACTCCAGGGGTGGCAGATGGCTTGCCAAGGGAAGACACATGCTCAGAGAGGCTTACAGTGGATAATACACATGAGACGGTTACCAAGGGGAACCGTGCGCATGGAGGCACCTAGCCAGCATCCAGAGCAACAGCAGTGGTGCCCGCATCGTCGGTGCTGGAGGACTCAAGACTTCAATGGAAGAACTGAGGAAATATCGCACTTATCCAGTCCGGGGAGTGGAGTGGCGAGCAAGCGAAGACACCTGAGCGGATCCAGAACTGGCCGAAACGAGTACGTGAGAGGATACCGGCTCAATTCGCAGATTATAGAATCTGGCGAAGGTGTTGGGTGTCGCCCAGCCTGCAGCTCTGCAGATGTCTGTTAGCGAGGCGCCGTGCGCTAAAGCCCAAGAGGAGGCTACACTCCGAGTGGAATGGGCCGTCACACCAAGGGGGCACGGAAGGCCTTGCTGCTGGTAAGACAAAGCAATGGCATCCACTATCCAGTGGGACAGCCGTTGCTTTGAGAGAGCCCTTCCCTTCTGGCTCCCCCCATGACAGACAAAGAGCTGGTCTGAGGTCCTGAAACACTGCGTTCTGTCGACATAGGTGCGGAGAGCACGTACCGGACAGAGCAGTGCCAAGGCTGGGTCTGCCTCCTCCAGGGGCAGCGCTTGCAGGTTCACCACCAGGTCCCGGAGGGGAGTGGTAGGAACCTTGGGCATATATCCAGGCCGGGGTCTCAGGAATACGTGAGAGTAAGCCGGCCCGAACTCCAGGCACACTTCGTCAACAGAGAGTGCGTGCAGGTCCCTTACTCTCCTGATGGATACCAATGCAATCAGGAGTGCTGTCACATAGGACAGGGCAAAAACTCTACCGACTGCAAAGGCTCCAGGGGAGGCCTCTGCAGAGCACCCAGGTCTACTGAGAGGTCCCCAGAGGGCAGGAGGGGAGGGAGGCGGATTTAGCCCCCTCACTCCCCTCAGGAACCTGATGACCAGGTCATGCTTCCCATAGACTTACCTTTCACTGCATCATGAGACGCGGCAATGGCCGCGACATAAATCCAAAGGGTGGAGGGCGACAGCCTGCGCTCCAACCCCTCTTGCAGGAAGGAAGCATGACTCCGATCGAACATCTCCGGGGGTCTTCTCAGCGAGAAGAACACCAATTGACGAAGAGGTTTCACTTCAACGCATAAAGGTGTCACGTGGACGACGCTCTTGCGGAAGTGATGGTTGCCGCCACCGCAGGTGGCAGCGAACTCAAACCTGCCTCGTCCCGTCCTGGAGCCACACGTGCAGCCTCCAAGATCGGGACGAGGGTGCCACAGAGTGCCCCGTCTCTGAGAGAGTAGGTCCGGTCTCAGAGGAATAGGCCAAGGAGGTGCTGTCGCGAGGAGCAAGAGTTCGGAGAACCACGTCTTGGTGGGCCAGTAGGGGGCTACCAGCAAGACCTGCTCCTCGTCCTCCTTGATCTTGCACAACACCCGTGCAAGGAGGCTCACTGGGGGAACGCACACTTGCGTGGGCCCCGTGGCCAGCTGTGCGCCAGCGCATCCGAGCCGAGAGAGCCGCGGGTCAGAGAATAAACTGGGCGCAGTGGGACGAGTCCCGAGAGGCGAACAGGACTAACTGTGCCTCCCCGAACTGGTCCCAAATCAGCTGGACCGACTGGGGATGGAGTCGCCATTCGCCGGAGATGGGACGGGCCCGGGACAGCTCGTCGGCTGCCCGGTTCCGGTCTCCAGGAATGTAACTGCACGAAGGGACCTCAGGTGCTTCTGACTCCATATCAAGAGGTGGTGGGCGAGCTGCGACAACCGGCGCGAGCGTAGACCCCCCCTGGTGGTTGATGTACGCTACTGCCGTAGTGTTGTCTGAGCGGACAAGCACATGCTGGCCCTAGAGCACGCTCGGAAGCGGTGCCGGGCGAGCCGTACTGCCAACAGCTCGAGGCAATTGATGTGCATGAGGCGCTGGGCTCCTGTCCAGGAACCGGCGGCTGCATGCCCATTGCACATGGCACCCCAACCCGTGGTAGACGCATCCGTGGAGACAACGAGATGCCTGGAAACTCGCTGAATAGGGACCCTGTCCGTAAAAAGCTGAGGTTCGACCACGGGAAGAAGGATCGGCGGCACGTCGGAGTCACTGGAACTCGGAGCGAGCCGCGATGCCATGCCCACCTCGGGACTCGATCGCGAAGCCACAGCTGAAGCGGTCTCATATGAAGCAAACCGAGCGGCGTTGCCGCGGCCGCGGATGCCATATGCCCCAGGAGCCTCTGAAATAGTTTCAGTGGAACCGCACTCTTGCCCTCGAACTGTCGAAGACAAGCCAGCAGTGAGTGCGCGCGCTCGTTCGTGAGCTGCGCGGACATGGCGACCGAGTCTATCTCCATGCCGAGAAAAGAGATCCTCTGCACGGGGCAAAGTTTGCTCTTTTCCCGGTTGACCCGAAGGCCCAGACGGGCTAGGTGCCGTAGCACCAGGTCTCTGTGTTCGCAAACCTGAGCTCGAGAGTGTGCTAGTAACAGCCAGTCGTCGAGATAGTTCAGGATGCGAACCCCGTGTTCGCGAAGGGGAACAAGGGCTGCCTCGACGATCTTCGTGAAGACGCGAGGGGACAGAGCTAACCCGAATGGGAGAACGGCGTACTGGTATGCCTGGCCCTCGAAGGCAAACCGAAGAAACGGTCTGTGTCGAGGGAGAATGGAGACATGGAAGTACGCGTCCTTCAGGTCGATCGCTGCAAACCAATCCTGATACCGAACACATTCGAAAATGCGTTTGGCCGTGAGCATTTTGAACGGTAGTCGATGGAGAGAACGGTTCAAAATGCGCAGGTCCAGGATCGGTCGTAACCCACCGGTCTTTCTTGGGGACAATGAAGTAGGGGCTGTAAAGCCC